GGCGGGGTCGGGCCCGCAGGGCTGCGGTGGGAGGAGCGTGCTCTCCAAAACTCGCGGCGCGAGGTGCAATCCTGAGGCGCTGGCTGCAGTGGAGGAGGCGGAGAGGAGGCCGCACCCTTCTCGGCGGGGGGAGGGGAGTGCCGCAATACCTTTATGGGAGTTCTCGCCGCCTCCGTCGCCCAAGGACCGCCCAGGGCCTAGAAGCCTCCCTCCCTCCCCCCTCCCCCGCGGTCTCGTCATCGTCCTCAAGTCGAGGCGCTCCAGCGCGAGGAGGGGCGGGATCCGTTTGCCCAGGCTTAACCTGGTGCCTGGGCGTTGGCCTGCAGGCTGGAGCAGGTGGAGGGCTGGGGCGGCGAGCCCGGTCTCCCTCTCCCTTGAGTTTGTGGCACAGTCCCCGAAACGCGTGGGGAGGGACAAGGACCCAGGCTGGCCCCGCGGGGAGGTCTGATGCGGCAGTCGAGACTGCGTGTTTTCTCTACTTGAGGGCCTGTTGGGAGCGTTTTTCCGAGGAGATAACAGGGAGATCATGAAAGGGGTCATCGCCCCGAGTTTTATACCCTCCCCCACTTTTGAGACCCTTGCTGCACCAACCAAGCGTAGCATTTCAAAATAAGTCTGCATTTCAGGCTCCCCTTCCCTTGCTCCTTCGGGCCAGGCAGCTTAGCAACTCTCGCTCATACTTTGAGCCCGTTCTGTTTTTTAAGTTGTTCTTGGTCATGCAGTCCCCAGACAGTGTGGCTTTCCCTTCTGTTCTCGGGGAGCCCAGTGAGTCACGGAACCCGACAGATTGGTTCCACCACTAATTGAGCGGCCAGCGCTGCACGGGCTCTAGGCCTGCAGTGCATTTATTCCTTGGGCCTGGTCTTCATAGTCAGATGACCTTGACCACTGCTTTTCTGAGAATTGGATGAGGTTTAGCAGCAGCATGTTTTCACCGCCTCTGAATACCTCCCTCCCTCTCCGTTTCTGTTCTGTTCAGTTAGTATCTGGAGTGAGATGCCATATGCTAGTGACCTTTAAACTTCTGTCTTCTAGTCCACCTTGCATGTTGTGGGGACGGTTGGCAAACAGCATGAATATGACTGCTGCAGCTCCTGGCTCTTGGTTACTTACAAGGCGACTTCCAGCAGGGATGTGATAGGGAAGGCTCCCTAGTGAGCTAAACTCCTATGAGCACATTTTTCCCTCCACCATGAATCGCCACACACACAGACACCCTGCTCAACTCACGTTGAATTGGTTGCTGTTTACCCACGTCCTTGTCACACCTCACGCTTAGGTGGTTCCTCTTCAAATGCTGCCCTTGATGCTCCTTCGCCTCAGACTGAAAGCTCAGCTATCTCCCCTATGATCTTGCCTTCAGTGAGTTATTGTCCTATAAATAGCCAGACTCCCCTATTAAAAACTAGTGCTTTTGCCTGCTCCCATAGCTGGTTGAATCATGGTGCTTTGGGTCGTTGTCATTGCTTGTTTAAATTCTCTGACTGTTCTGAGCTTCTTGAGGGTGCAGGCTCTTGTTCAGTCTTGTACCCTAAGCTCCTGATACATTCCTACATTTAGCTAACCCTGAATACAATGGCGTGAAGGACTTGCACATGTCCTTGCAAGATTTGCTAGGTGATTGGTCTCAATCCGTTCTTTCTGCTTGATACTGCCCTGGGTTAGTGCTGTGCCACAACCGTCTGCAGCGATGGGATTATTCCTGATCTGTGTGTCCGGTATCAGAGTCACTGACCATATGTGGTCATATCGCTAATGAGCAATGGAAACGTGGCTAGTATCACTAAAGAACTGAATTTTAATCTTAAATGTCACTTAAATGCCACTGTGGCCAGTGTAACTGTGAACACAAATTTGTATTGTGGATTCTGGAATACTCACTGTGGACATGGAACATTTTTCTTGTCATACTGGGCAGTAACAAGATAAAAGTTAAATCTTGGTAGTCCGTGTAGGTTTTTCCCCTTCCCTGCTTGTTTTATTTTACCTGTTTATATACCTTGGCTCTATTTAGTTGAGAGCTACCGAACAAACACCATTACCAGCAATAAACCAGCCTTGGACAACAGTGTTGACAAAGAGGGTTGACTGGTTTGGGTTGCAAAATAGAATGCATAATGAATCAGGAGCCTGGAACTTAATTAAACCATGTGGTGTGACAGAAGTTATGTGAGAGAAGAATTCTACTGGATGTTAATGAAACCAGCCCTAAAATTTCAGTCCTATAAGTTGTCATTTTTGGAGAAAACCAGTGGTGGCAATTATGTGTATCTTAAGTTACAGGGAACTGGTCACAAAGTTTCATCCAGGCGAGGTATAAATGAATACATTTTAGCAGCAACGTGCTTTCTGATCTGTGTGTTAATAGAGATTCTTGAAGATTTCTGTTTCATTTCTAAAAGACAATTTTTTTACTTACAATTTCTCTTCAGAATGTGCATTTCTCTTTAGATGGGGTCTTCCGACCTGTGGTGTGCACAGGTGAGCTTGCTGTTTAGTGTGGATTCTGCCCTGCACCAGAGATCATCCTGCGTTCAGGCTTAGGGCACTAAAGCTGCATCAAGCACTACTGCCTGATGCTCTGTAATATTTTTTTTCCCTAATTTTTTCATCTGCCGAACGGGTCATTTTCCCCCCGCTGCTCCCAAAGAGTGCATGGGAAATCATTTCGAAAAACAGAAGAGTAGTAATAGTTAAAAATTCTGGACACTGGGCAGGTCAGACTGTGTTTTGAAAAGGAATGTTAAAATAATCCAATTAATTGGTTTTACTGAACAAGAACGTTCCCAGATAGTGGGAGAAGCTGTAGCATCGTGCTCGCCTCAGCCTCCTGCTCTGCTCTGCTCTGCAGGGAGACTACGGGCCTGTGGCCTCCGACGTTGCGCCGGTGGCTCTTCCCGGTTTCCTGTGCAGCCTCTGCGGAGCCTCTTCCTGTGCTGGGCTCTGTGGGCGCTTTTTGGTTTTTTTCTTTCTTTCTTTTTTTAATAACCACCTCTGTCTCCTTTTGAAATGGAGCCATAGCATTTCTCTTAACATCTAGGGCAGACATTAAGCATGTTGAACACTTGGGCTTGTGTGGAAAGGTTGTTTTTATAAGGGCTTTGCCTTTTATTTTTACATTGGCAAAATTTGAACTAGATAATCTGTCTTCCACGTGCTTTGTTACAGATGGAGGTTTGGTTTAATTATGGTTCACAGCTGTTGATCCCGAGCATGATAGGGATGGGCATGGCGAGGAAGGCCTACTTCAGGCCAGCCCTCCTTGTAGCGCCATGACCTGCTGGGTCACTCTGGGGCCCGTCACCTGCAGCTGAGAACGCTGCCTTTGGTTGGTCACTCTTGTTGGGGCACCAGCCGTTTCCCCACAGATGAGCTTATCTAGTGCTGTCTGCTCTTGCTGGGAGTGAGTGAAAAGCCGAATTTGAGACCTGTAGTGGCATGGAATCGATTTTTTTAGGTTTCTTTTATCTTGGCCAGGGTTGAACCTGATGAATTTTTCCTGGTTTGCCTGGAGGGTGTATCTGTAGACCTTCTTGGTGATTAGAGAAACTTTCTGCCTCTGATATTTCAAAATTATGGTTACATTTAATAATCTTACTTTCCAGCTTTTTCCCCTTGGGTTCAGATCTCTCTCACTTGTGTTTCGATGCCCTTAGTCACCCTTTGTTTTCTATTTGTGGTGTGTGTGTGAGAGAGAGAGATTTAATAATTTTTACTGCTGACAACAGTAATTCGTTTTCACGTGTTTGTGACTGGTCATTTTCCCCAAGAACCCCACTGCTAGTATATGGGTTCTACTTAACTCAGCACTTTACAGAAGAGCCTTTGCTCTTTTTACTTGATTAAAATCTCACCCAAACATTCTGCTATAGTAAATAGTGGCAGTAGTCTATTAGTACATTCTTTAGGCAAAGGCTAGTGGAAAACATAGGTACTTTAGAAGAAATAAATGAATATTAATATTCACTGAGTGCCAGCTCTGGCCCAGATAACGCCCCAAACTCTTTGCCAGGATATTTAGTGTGGTCTTCAGCTCTAAAGCCTCACCTCACAGAGGAAAGTTCTGAGGTTGAACAACTTGCCTGTAGACACATCAACAAATTAAGGGCTAAGAACTCAGACTGGTCTGACTTGCTCAGTGAGCCATTCCACTCCATGGTTCTACCCTCCTCTGGTGGGAAGGGTCTTCGGGACTTTGAAATGGCTGCCAGAAAGAGGGTGGGTGGATGGTGCAGACTTTTAGGGCAGAGAGAACTCACTGGGGTTTTGTTAACAGTAATCTGGACTATGAAATGGTGAGCTCGGGTGGACAGCTAGTGCCATGAAATGGAAGGGAAGTTACAGGAGTCAGTAGTTGCTGCTGGGCATCTGTCGGCACTCAGGGACCGGCCTCATGCCCTCAGTGCCACTGTCCGGGGCCTCCGTTGTGTGTTCAGAGCAGTTCTTGGTGGAAGTGTGGCCCAGAGCACAGGTCCTGAAGGTGTGTTGAACGGCTCTTTAGAATCCCCCTCCTTTTTCCTACTCCGTTTGTAAAGTCGTCGTTGCCTAACCGGGCTATTTTCTCTTCTAGGTTGTTCATTGAGGGCAGGGCATGGCGTTTGTACCTGTGTCCACGTTGCCTGAGCATAGGGAGGTCTTCGAGGTCAAAACTTAGCAGCACTGAGATGCTAGTTACCCGTGCAGCGCATCCTCACAGCTTCAGCACGTACATGATGTGCTGTGACATCAGGATGTAACTGAATGGTCCTGTGTCTTCAGTTGTCTGGAGCTTCCTAAGGTGGTAAGGCTGAAGGCATGGCTATTTGGGTTTTTAGAAATTAACGGTTTATAGCTTCTATAATCTCACAACTCTCAATACTGTGCAATTCTAAGATTGTATAGATTTCTTTGTGCCTGAGCATAAACATGTATGCTGTAATTCTTAGGTACTGTTTTAAGTATTAAGTTACTTAATATTTAACCAAAACTTACCAGAATAGCCATTCTCTAAAATATTTGTTTTTCTTAAGCGTGGCTTAACGATTGAGTCCATTTGTTCAACCGATAGCTATACCAGCTATACTTAAAAAGGATAAGAAGTTAATTCTGTCAGAGTTTTCTGTCTCATAAGAAGAATTAGCTGCAGTGAAACTAGAAGAGCTGCTGAGGTATCTTAAAGATAAGTTGTAACTCATTGTGTGACATTGGCTGGAGGAACATACCCAGTAGCTGAAGAGCCAGTACTGTCGATGCTGGCTAAGAAGTCAGTCATGGGAATGATTTTTGTCATTAAAGGTCATTTGTGGAGACCAGTCTGCCTGAGTGGCTCGTGCAGATGTGTGCTTCTGCCTCATAACTGGATGAATCTGAGAGGGCTGGGCTTGTTCCTTGCATTTGTTTAGCACCTACTAGCCAGGGAGGCTGACGAGAAAGCTTGGCCCCAAATGTGTCCTGCAGTAGTGTTGAGAAGCTCGTTAGAACCTCCTGCTTGAGCCTGACATCTTCACTAATGGTGAAAAGACACAGGTTGCTGCATCTGCTGGCATCGTGGTAAGTGGCACCGAACTGCTGGGCATTGTTCACTGCAGTGCCTCTGTAGTGTAGAGGGGGAATGCCAGTTACACTTTCAGACATCCCTGTGAAAACACTGGACATTAGTTCAATCTGGACCCTGAGCACTTCACTTAAAATGAAGTCTGAAATGGGAAGTTTACACACAGCATCTGGCTAGATGCTTAAATATAGTAGTTTTTTCTCAGGAAAACGTATTGGTGCCGTTGTGTTACAAGAGAAATTTTTTTTCTTAGGCCACCTTTTTTACTTGGAAAAATCTAGATTGTCAGAATTGGCTCCTTGGCAGACATTTTTATTTTACTATGAAGGAATTGAAGAGTTCAAGGAAAACAGTTGACAGCAACTAAATTAAAACTCAAACTTCAAAGTGAAATTAGAATTTTGGTAACACACTCGGAGCTTTAGATTTTCCAGTGCTGGCTTTTATGAGACAGCAGTGTGACCAGTATGAATTCTAAATATATAATGAGCTGGACAAACCTACAAGGTTTATGAAACTAAATGAGCTGACACTTCCAAATGACTGATGAAACTGCACATAATCTAAACCAGTAGAAGGCAAAATAAGAATGTCGCTGTCTTCTGTTAAAGCTGACATTTCTTCAAAATGTGAAGTAATGCCACTGTTGAAAATATTAAGGCAGTGCATTTTTACTTCCTGTTTTCAGTTCTTGTGTGGTAAGATACTGGCAAATTACTTGTTCGGGCCCTCTGTTTAAAGACTATGAAGAGTCTTTGGCTCTGAAGCCAAAGTCTGAGCTTAGTAAACATTCAGATGCCTGTTGAATAGCTGGATGGAGCTGAAGGTGACGCTAGCAGTCAGCCTGGGTGATGAGGAGTGGGCATGCTGTGACAGGAAGGCTCTGGTGGCGTCTAAGAGTAGGTGCCTGTTGAGTTTGAGGTGGGACATGTAAGGGTAACTATAGTTGGACATTTATAATTTGGGGTTGAAGATGGAAATATCATTCCAGTAAAAATTGCTTCAGTCATAAAACAGCTCCTTTTATATCATAGCTATGAAGTTAGGACCAGCAAGCAATCTTGAGGCGAGAGGGTGTGACAGCTTTAACATTGCACATTTAAGAGTCTCGGACGGCAGAGACCTATCTGGTGCTACTTTAACCCTGTTCTCTCTGGAGCTCTCACCTAACACCTCACCTGAACTAAGAAAAGGCTGCCAATGCAGCACTGTAATACCACAGTGGGAAGCTGAACTCCAAAACAAAGTATTGTAAACCGGTGGAAAGTCAATAAAATATTGCTTTAAAAAATCAGGTCATGTCAGAGTGGTGTGTTGTGCTGTCTTTTGCCTAGCTCACAAAGTATTTGTATACTAGGTACTCTGTAACCCATCAGAATACTTACCCCCTCCCACACCACCCCTCACGTCAGTGTTTGGTCCTTGCAGGTGGGATCTGAACCATAGCGACCGTGGTGCCAGTCTGCAGTTCTTTCTGGAAGCTCCATTTTGCCACCTTGAAAGAGTGCTTTTTTGATCACAGTGCATTGCCAGTCTCTGGGAGGTGCCTTTATTAATACTTACAAAATCTGTTTACATCCAAAGTACAGTGACTGGTTTATGACTCATCTAAGTCTCAGGTTGCTGCAAGTTACCTGCCCTGTGTCTTCACATTCCTGGGGTGCTGGTGGCCCCCTTGAAAGGTTAAAACTGGGTTGACAACAAGGAGGTGGTGGTGGGGTGACATGTAGCTTAGCCCAGATCTTTGATGATGTCTGCTCCCTTCCTTTCCTGGACAGCAGATTACTACCAAGCAGGCTGAAGGATGCTCACTACAAGCTGCAGTGTCTTGCCTTGGTCTGGCAATGTTTCGTTGAGGTTTAGTAAGGTTAAGGCTACAGTGGAGCAAGTAGGGTGTTTGACACTTAGAAACCAAGCCAGTGTGCAAACCACGGATTCATTTGTTTAAAACATTCATTTGAGTAGAGGCTGTACCAGGGACTTGGTCCTATGGACTGCTGGCCTGCCCTCATTTAAAGGTTTAAATGGCTCCTTTAGGTGAGAGGAGGTTTTATATGAAATCACACAGCTGTGCATTCTGGTGATGGTAAAAGAAACTTTGATATAAAGCCTTTAAAAAATCTCAGTCCATAGACAAGGGCAGTTAGCTGTGGTTGTAGTGAAGGACCATCTTGAAGAGTAAGACGTAAAGTAAGGAAGAAGGGCACACGATTGCTACTGCTGACCCAGTACTAAAAAGCTAAGGTGAACACAGACAAAGAAATATTACAAAGAAAGGCTTTTTATGCTGCACCAGGAAAACAGTTTTCACGAGGACTTGATGCTCAGGTCATTTGATTTTCCACTGTTGGAAAGATTTTAGGCAACTGGTAAACGAACTAAGTATGGAGAAAATGGAAGAACTGACAATTTTTAATTCAAACATGCATCCAGTCTCTAGTTCTAAGAAACTGATACTGAGACAGGTTTAAGTTTGAAGCAATATCATCTTTATATTGAAAGAAAAATAAAGGCATTTTAAATTTGGCTGGTTGGTCCCACAGTCCATCTATTAACGTGTTTGCTGCTACTTACAGGAATGCCCTATTCTAACGGTTCATCATCTGTAGTTCTTTTGCTGCCAATCCTCCATTTTACTTCTATCTTGACTTGAATGACATGCATATTTTTAAGGCTGATGGTATACTTTCCTATAGGTCTTGAGAAGTTTGTTCTTGTCGCTGGGGCAAACACTAATCACAAAATGGAATGCTGCTTCACTCTTTAAGTTTGAGAAAGGAGAACTATTAAATAGCAAAGCTGCAGAGGCGATGACCCAAGATGCTAGCTCGGGGCTGCTTTTCACCTGCTACAGTGGAAAACAGGAGCTTTAATAAAGCCTGAAAATAAAAATTTTAAACCCAAACCAGAGCATTTTAGTAGGCTTTTCACTAGGTATTTTTAAAACACTTAAAGATATGTGTTAATTGCCCAGCCTACTTCCAGCCAGCTCCAAGGAGCAGCTCTGCTTCCTGTTAGGACCTTCACTAGCTTTGCATTACATCCACATTGTGATATCAGGGAGGATGAAGAGCTGTGGATCAGGTTAAACTGTGCAAGCTGCACTTAGGATACAGCTACTTTTCTCTCAAAAGCAAGTTCTTCTTGTCAACATTTCCAGTGTCAGGAAATAGAAATGTATTGATCATCTTCACTGTCTGCATTACCAAGGAATTCTTTCTCCATCTTGTTCGGAAGGATGAACAAAGGCTTGAGGTGTACGTTTCAGGAGATAAACTGCAGCGTGCAGACCCCCTATGTTTACCCAGACAGTATGCACCTTCCGCCACATGTGTCCCATTCCAGATAATGCCTGTGTACACACAAGAAGCATACAAGTAGTTAGCTGACCATCTGTTTCCAGAACAAGGAGTCTCTTAGTTGTCAGAACACTGGGGGAAGAGAAAACATCCTACTCAAATTTAATATCCCTAAGTCTGCTTACAAAGATCTTCAAGTTGCCTCAGGCTGAATTTTGGAGCTAACATACAGCACCTTGGTAAAACATTTCTTGTCCTGAGTCAGTAGGACTGCACGGCCTGTCCCAGGTCTGCAGACGCGGCTCATCTCCTGCAGGCAAGCTGGATAGAGGTTCCAGTTTCTTTTCTTTGAGCCCATCCTTGAAGAGAGAGTTCCAATGAGTCAAACAACTGTTGCCAGAGATAAACAACCAGCACTATGTGAAAAGAAATTATTTAAATATAATTTGCCATTTCCACTCGATGTCAGAGAAACAGTGATGAACGTTTATGGACTGCTTAGAGTTCTTCAGTTACAGAAAAATTTCATTTGATAGCCCTAAGTCACATAATTTGTCCTCAATGACAATAAGAGAAGTCAAATTATATAAATCAGGCCAGTGATTAGAAATCATTTACCCTAAGAAAGAGCCAAGCTTTGCTCAACCATTGTGTGTGTGTGTGTGTGTGTGTGTGTGTGTATGACAACACTGAGCTAGACAGTGAGTGATACATAATGCTCAAAATGAGTCCCCTATGCAGTCAGGATCAAAATGGAGTTGATGCATTACAGATTTCTAAGGAGAAAGGATATGGGTGCATCTACTACTTGTTGGAATTCTTAACTGAAACACTGCTCGGCTAAGAGGAAAAATGCTTTTGTGGGCTGCTCAGTACACTCATGGGCACCTGTGTAACAGGTGGGAGCCCGCCCTACCTCTTCCCAAAGGGCATGTCCGTTACAATGATATCCACAGAGCCAGTTCTCAGCGGCAGCTTGCAGATATCCCACTGCACAGCGTCTATGGGCAAGCCCCAGGACAGTTTGCTGTGGGGACAAAGAAAAGTCTGTCAACATACTTTAAAACATAAAATTTTAAAAAGTGTTTCTGAAGGAACTGTTGTAAAGTACAAACTGCTGCTAAATGCTATTGGGACAACAGCAAGTTAGTGAGGAAAACTTCAAAGTAGCATGTAGGAAGAAAGCATAAAGTCACATGATAAAACAATGGTAAAATAAGTACACCTTAAAAATGGTTAAGAGTGGTTTTCAAGTGATGTCTACATCTGTTTCATTTAAATTTAAGGAAAAACAGATCAGATTGCGACACAACTGCAATAGACAACTTTGAAAACACGTAAATCACACAGCTGACAATGTAAAAACATCACTGCTGAAACAGATCGGCAGTGGTGAAACACTGGGCAAAGTCAGAAACAACCTTAAAGAGAAAACTATGATGAAATTGGGGAAAAATCAGAAACAGAACACTAACAGAAAACAGTGACGAAATTGGGAAGAGTCAGAACACTAAGATTAAAGCATTACAAAGTGACCGGGATTAAAAACTGGTTCCAAGTTTTTAAAGAAACATATAAAATTAGAAAATATGCAAGTATTTGTTTTAAGATTAAAATGTCTGTATACCATGCTAAAAAACAAGGCCAAGAAAGAAAAGCTAAAAGCTAAAAGACATAGTGAATAGAACAGTTACAGTGATTTAAATCCTCTGCTCTAAGGCAAAGCTACTGATTGAAGAAACAAAATATGGCAGGGAATAAACAATACACAAGCTATCAATGAAAGGAAATTAGGGGCAATCCTAGTGGCACATGTTGTTTAAGTGCAGCACTACGAAGCTGTCTGCAGCCACTGCAGCATGGGTTCGATCCCCAGCCAAGGAGTGACCCACAGAGCACAGCAGACTTAGGTCTCCCCGCTGCTCCCTTCAGCGTGGATTTCAGTGGATCAGCCTGTTCTGCTCCCCACTCTGTCTCTGGTGACTCCTTTCGCCCCCACACCTCAGGCCTATTCTTGAATGCATAAATAAATATTTTTATTTAAAAAACATTAAAAATTTCAAGGCAAATTAAATGAGCAGAAATTAAAGGGTTACAATACAGAATTTAAGAAAAAAATAAGAGATCAACACTAAAAAACACCACCACAGATACGGAAACAACCGTGGCACCACCATCTGTAACAACAAATCACCATAGTGCCTAAAGCGCTAACGAGTAACATTCCCACCAGCTCCTCCCAGAGACAATGGACACCAGCAAGCCAAGGCGGCGGGTGGAGCCACTAGATGCACCTGAGTGTGGCCAGAGCAGAGTCTGGGCAGCACCACAGGTGTCTGGGAGAACATCTCCTGGGGCTGTGGGTGGGTGGGCTTCCCATGCAGATGTCAAGAGGATGCGACTGGAAACCATGGAATATTCTGCTTGGGAACAGGGCTGGCGGGGTGGGGCGGAGGCAGGTCCTTTGGGTGCTCTTCCTTTGAAGAGCTGGTGTCAAGCACCATGTGACAGAGGCAGGGTTTTTGGGGGTGGGTGGGAGCCTGCACAGTGGCGATACAGGGAGGACTCGGCTCACTACCACTGTGACGAGCACTCTGGCCTCCCCCACTCGGGATGTTCTTTAGAACACTAGGCCTCAGGGTGCCGGCAAGGTTTCTTCCTAAACTGAGGTTCTTTTAAGTGAGAAATCACAGAAAACAGACTAAATAAACTGCAGTCTACCTGTAAAATGGGATCTTGTGCAGTCATTAAAAAACAGAACATCTAGGCCCTCCCTGGTGGCGCAGCGGGTTAAAGCACAGCACTGAGAATCTAAAGCCGCTTCCTCATGAGTTCGATTCCCGCCTGCCCCGGAGGTGACCACATGGCGTGGCAGACCTCTCCTGACCCGCCCGCTGCTCCCCTCAGCAGTGTATTTCGTTGATCTGCCTGTTCTGCACTCCACTCTGTCTCTGGTGAATTCTCTCACCCTCCACATCTCTGGCCTGTATCCCAGTTCTGTATGCACAAATAAAATAAAATCTTTAAAAAAAAAAAACAGAACATCTAAAATCAAAGCGTTTGAAAATTTGTGGAATTAAAATAAGTCTAACAGTATTTTTTCAGTGTGAAAAAAAAATTAAAAAAAAAGGGAAGACAAAAGCAGCTGCATCAGGGAAGGGAAATTATAGTTAAAAAAAATTCTAACAGAACTTTAATGTCTAAAGTGAGTCTCACAATATCTTCATTGTGGCTATCTGATGTCATAAATCACTGGGGGTATTAATTCATAAAGTCAGTTTGAAAAGTGATTAAGTCTAACACATGCTACAAAGTATCTTGAATGTTTACCCTTCTTTCACTTGGCTCTTGGTCAACAGAGAGGAGATGTTATTCGCTGCTCTGTTCACAGCCAGTGGATTATTGTCACCAGCAATATGGTAGCAGCTGGGCCACTCAGTGGCCCCCTGAAAGGCAAGAGTACATATATAAAAACAGAACAGGCAAATGGCAAAAAACATCATTTAAATCGTCAATAAATAAGACAATCTGATCAGCAGATGCTTTTCTAAAGTGGCAAAACTGCGTGCTGTCAGGGAGCTGTCCCTGCTTCCACGCCTGTGTCCGGTGTCGGAATTCCTCCCTGCTCACATTTCAAGGCCCGGCTCAAGTGTCATTCCCTCTGTAACATCAACTCCAGCTCTTCAAATTCTCGCTGGCAATGTCACAGCAATTTTGAAAACCATTTAAGAATGCCTGGTATCTCGCCTTGTCAGATTTCCTAAGAAACCTAGACGATGTTGGTAGGTTTTCTCTTTTTACAACTATACTCTCTCAAAGAACCAAAGTGGATTAAGCAGCAAACTCCCACTTTATAGAAATGAAATCACCATCCCCAGTTTATGCTTGTATCTTCAGTTACCTTTTCTGTTCAACTCTACCAATCTGTTATTGAAAAGGAGCTTACCAGGATGTACAGCCTTTTCTGTAACCCACAAATGGATCTCATCCTTGGCTATTTGTAGTAAGTAGTTACATGCTATACACAGAAGTGTTCTAGCTTTACTAGTTCATTCTTTCAAAACCCTTTAGTCTACTGACCCAGCCTTGGTGATTTCATTCTGTCTCATTTGTCCATTAGGTCTAGAACATTCTGGATACAGCCCTTTTCTATCTAAAAGCTAAAGGAAAGTCATTACCTCAATTGGTATCGCCCCTGTTCCACACATTGGATCAACTATTATATCAGTAGGTTGAGGTGCGCAGAGCCTGAGAAAAGAAAACAGCCTACGTGAGGGGGCTTCAGCAGCTGAGGCCGCCACAGGAAATATTTCTGAAGTTACAAGGTCAAGGACCTATTATGCTAGCAGGATGGAACGGGTCAGTATTCATGGTAGATGCCAATTTGTAATTACATGTTGACTCTGTGTCCCTTAAAAGAAATGACATACAACTAAAAATCCACTTTGATTACACCTAAAATCCCACTTCCCTACTAGATGGAATTGAGCTTCTCAACCTTTGCAGAGATGTATATGAATGTATAGATATATATGCTTTAGAAAAGTGTTATTTTGCTTACAAACCTGTGTTATGTTAAAAAATGCTCAAACATGGGCCCTCACTGGTAGCTCAGTGGCTTAAAGCACAGCACTACAGAACTAGCTTCCACACAAGTCTGATCCCCAGCCAGGGAGGTGACCCACATGGCGCACGCAGACCTCTCCTGTCTGGCCCCATCAGCAGTGTGCTTCATCAATCTGCCTGTTCTGCTCTCTACTCTGTCTCTGGTGAGTCCTCTCCCCCCCCCGGGCTGTACTCCAGGTCTGTATGCATAAATAAATATTTTTTTAAAACCCAAACATTTCCAATAACACATGTATCAATGAAAGTTTAGTGACAATTAGAGATTCAGTATTCCTTCTCTTGTAAATTTAAAGATAATCTTTACTTTGAGCATTTACTATTTATCAGGCACAGATTTAAGTTCTTTAGATGAATTATTGGGACAATTATCTGAACACTGTGAGGTAAGTTATTGTCATTCTTCCCATTGTTTACACAAGTTGATGCAAAACCTGTCCATCGACACAAAACTATCAGGGTTAGAATCAAGATGAAAGGGGTCCCTCTCAGTGACGTGCCGTTACCCCATCTGTGAAGCAGCTCTCCTCGCACTGGTCACGATGTTCCTCTTCCCTTTGTTTGTTCTGCTCATCTTCTCATGATCTATGCTATGTGCTACACACAAAGCAACTATTTAGCTTCCTGACAAGACTGGGAATCTTGGGGATTAACCCTGGATTCTTACTGTAACACCAGCCCAGCTTGGATCCCCCTGACCCCCATTCCTGCCGCTCAACACAGGGCAACAGCCCCTCGGCGGCCCTGCTGGGAGTAACTGGGTCCGCCCAGCCACTGCTGCTGGGGCCATGTGCAGCCTTGACTAAACTCCATCAGTCAGCTTTCCTCTTCCAAGCATTTGAAATGACATAGCTAGAAGCTGTAGTCAGAATGGGTCGATCATTTGAAAATGGAAACAGACAAATTTAGAC